TATCTCATTTACAATTTGCAGACGACCTTCTCATTTTCTCCGAAGCAAAAGAATCGTCGATTTTAAACTTTAATCGAATTCTAAAAATTTTTGAAGTTGCAGTGGGTTTGAAATTAAATATGAAAAAGACACGGCTTTTTGGGATCAATGTGGAGGAGACCAGAGTTAAAAGGTGGTTGATTTGGTATACTGTGGATGGGGAAATCTTCCTTCAAACTATTTGGGTTTGCCGTTAGGACTGAAGAAAAAGTCAAAGGACCTATGGCAGCCTGTTCTGGAAAAAATTATGAATCGTTTGCAAAGCTGGAAAGGTAAACTCTTATCTTTTGGTGGTAGATTAACCATGATTAAATCAATTTTGGTTAATTTACCGGTGTATTTCATGTCCATTTTCCCGATTCCGTGTTCAATTGTTGAGTTGATTAATAAATGTATAGCTAATTTTCTGTGGAAGTCTTAATCGGATAGAAGCATTCACTGGATAAAATGGAACAATATTTGTGTGCCGAAATCGCATGGGGGATTGGGTTTTTATGACATTAAAATCAGGAATCGTGCTTTGCTTAATAAATGGATTTGGAGATTTAGTAGGGAAGTTGATAGCTTGTGGAGGAAAATCATTATAGCAAAGTATAATTATGACTTTGATTCCATCCTTCCTAGGGCAGTCAATCATAGAAATTCATGTTGGGTTTGGCGTAGTATTGTCAACCCGGTTGTGTCTCAAAAGGTTGTTCTTTTATCCGATTTTAAATGTATTATGGGTGATGGAAATAAAATAGAGTTTTAGACAGACTATTGGACTGAGCTGATCTCTCTTAAAGAAGCTTTCCCCAGGATTTATGCTATTACTGTTAAAAAGTTTGGTAAAATTAGTGAGTTTGGGAGTTGGGTTCATGGAGCATGGGTTTGGAGGATCGAGCTTAGAAGATCTCTTTTCGAATGGGAAAAACCTCTGTGGTTGAATTTCAATTTTGTTCTTTCTAAAGCTGTAAGTGTTTCTCAAGGAGTTGTAAGTGTTTCTCAATGAGCTGATAGTCTTAAATGGTTGGGTGCGACAGATGGTAACTATAATCCGAAAGCTTATTGTTTGAAGTTAGCTTGTGTGGGAAAGATGAAAGAGCATATATGGAGTCTGGTTTGCTTCAAATTGGTTCCTCCAAAAGTGGCCGCTTTTGTGTGGAGAGTTGTTCACCAAAGAATACCAGTTATTGAAGAATTGCATAAAAGAGGTGTTAAGAATCTAGAGCGCGTTGGTTGTCCATTCTGTAATCTTTTCCCGGAATCGATAAATCATGTTCTATGTCAATGTGGCGTTGTTTGGTTAGTTTGGCAAAGATGGTGTAGAATGTGGAGAGTGAATTTAGTTATTCCTTTCAATGTTAATCAGCTATTGGAGGTTTGGTTTGATCTTCGAATTAGGAAGAGAGTTCATTATTTGTGGCATCTCGGTTTCTTTGGATTGCTTTGGGTAATTTGGCATTATAGAAATAAATCAAGGTTTAAAGGAATTGTGTTCTCGGCGGATCAGATTTTCACTAAAGTTTTGATTCAGGTCGGTGTCTGGACGAATTACCTCTGGCCATCGTTGATTCCCTTTGTGCTAGACTTTGTTCGGTGTCCGGAATCTATTGTGTTATGTGAATGATCCTTGCAGTTTTGGTGTCTGTCTTTCTGCTTGGACATGTTAATTATGTCTGGGTTTTAGAAGATATGGTTATGGTCTGCTAGGTGTTTTGTGTTTGTTTTGGTTTTGGATTTTTTTCTTGATCTGGTTTTGGTTATGTTTCTGGCCAAGTCTGCAGTTTTTAGTAACAGTTGTATTCATGGTTTGATGTATAGGCCTCGGTAGTTGAGTTGCACTAAGTGTAGAGGCAACATATGGTGTATTATTTGTTATAAACTGTCCTGTTGTACTATCCCAAAGATCACTATTTTTCCTCCGAATAGGTTTAGGGAGGTTTTTTAACGAGGGTCTTAGGGTGGTATACTTTGTTGTTTTCTCTTAATACAAAGTATCTCGTTTCAAAAAAAAAGTTTTTTAGTTGTGTCTTTACACAAAACGATTCCTTAAGTTTTTTTCTTCATATATTTTTTGTACTAATTCGAAAATACATTTTAAAATATTAAAAAAAACTTAAAAAAGACAATTCCGAATTATACTCCAGATCCAAGAAATCGTGACAGCAAATGCCTACTTTTTTTTATTTATAAACTGTTTAGATTACACTTAATTAAGCAGTGTATAGAGAGAAGGGGAGGTGAGTTTGGTAATTGGTGGGGACGTAAAGTTGGAACTCATCTACTGGGCTAGGCGGTTCTGGCACGTTGGTGTATCCTTTCCTTACCTGTCCGAATCTTTGCTAGGCTATTTCCCGACCCAACTTCCATGCTGTCGCTAACTTCCCCTCTTTCACAAGACACGGGTCAATTTCATCTCATATTCCCATTATAAATACATCCCCAGTTTCATTCGCTTTAACCCCCCATCTATCTTTCATATTCTTAATTCCTACTTTGATTTTCCATGCCTAATATGGAGCTTCAACTCGGTCTTGTTCTCCCAACACCAAACATAATAAAGGGGCTCGACTTAAACAACCTCGGACTGGATCAGCTGAAACAAACGGGTGGTTTCAGTGACAAAAGTAAACGTAGTTTTGAGCAGGCTTTTGGAAACTTCAAGCAAGAGTGTAACACAAAAACCTTGCTTCTTTGGAGTGGTCAGCCAAACGAGGAAGAAGATCACAAGGATCAAAAGAACACTACTTTTTCCACCATTGATGAGTAAGTGGCTCTTTTCTTGCCTTTTAATGATTCCAAGTTCCAAACAAAAAGTATTTAAGTTTAGTGTTGAAATTGTAGCAGGAACGATGAAGAGGAAGTTGATCAAGTAGTGGGGTGGCCACCCATTAAAACATGGAGGAAGAAAATATTCCAGCAACAGAATGGAGTTGGCGGGATTGAGAACAACCGAGTTGCAGATAAAGAGAATGGCAGATCCATTTATGTTAAGGCGAAGATGGAAGGAGTGGCAATCACAAGAAAGGTTGATATTAGGGTTTATCTCTCTTATCAAACACTTACCAACTCCTTGATCACAATGTTTGCCGAAGGTACGCCACTAAAATTCCACTCCCAAAATTCATTCAAAAATAAAAAAAGTAGCCAAAATCTCAATATACATTTTCTGAACAGACAAGAAATGTGCTGACGACGATTATACACGTTATATTCTCACCTACCAAGACAAAGAAGGAGATTGGCTGATTGCAGGAGATATTCCATGGCAGGAGATTGGCTTCTCTTATTACAAGCAATGTTTGCAAATAACAGTAACTATGCAAGGAGTGGAAGAACATAAATGTCTTGAGGATCGATTTTAAACAATTCGAATATCAATTAATTTAGTTCATACCATCATCTTAAATCAACTTTAACATGTATCTTTATAAGTTTGCTTAATGTTGGTGTTGCAGAAGTTTTATCAGGAGTGTGCAGCGGCTGAAGATAATAAGGAACCGGGATTGAAACATCGGATTTGCAGTCGACTTTTATAAGCAAAATTTCCTACTTTACCCAACATTAATGGTTTGAAGATCAAATTATTCCTTCCAATAAGTATGTAGTTGTAAAAACATGTTAAATGAGTCAAGTGTGAGAATCTCTATATAGTCTAAGCTAGTGATTGAACCATATAATTAATTCCAATTAGCTTGCTTTATTTGATGTATCGAGCTTTGTTTAACTAATATTTCATGTTAATCACGTTTTGTATATACCCTTTGTTTGTAAGGGTACCCCTAGAATTTTATTTCAGAGCTTTTTTTCTTTATATTTTGGCATTCGTGTATTGTGACGTTGCTGACGTGGTTAATTCACTAAAACGACATCGTTTTGGAACAATTGTTTTAATGTTCATAAAGCCTCAAATGACGTCATTTTGTTAATAGAAAAAAAATACTTTCCATAGGATTGAGCCAAAGTCCTATTGGACCAAATGAGAAGCAACTAACCACTAAGCTAATTTAAGAATTTATTATAATTATAACAAAACTAATATATATGTTAAATAATAATTTGAATTAATATTATTTATTTAATATTTTTTTATTTTTTATTTTATAATATATATGATTTATAATAAAAATAATAATTTTTCAAAAACCCTTCAAAATTTTAAAATTCTCAAATTTCTCCCAAAACCCAAAGCCTTGAGTACCAAATCACAAATTTCACCTGTTGTCACCCTCGAACCAACGACCACTGCCCACCATTTCCATTGTCGGACCCTTACCACCAATTACCTCACTCTATTGTCGTTGGAAATCAATGAACGGTGTGCTAATCGATCGTCAAACATCGAATGTGAAATATTCTAATCGAACCATGAACGACGACCGATCAACGAGCAAATGGTGAATGGCGTGCACGTCGAGAGGAGAAGGCTTTAGTGCGACAACAATAGCGATGGTGGGTGAATTTAGGGATTGTGATTTAGACTTTAGGATTTTTTGGTTTTTTAAGAATTTAGGGTTTTTTTGGAACTTTCTAGAATTTAATGTGTTTTTTTAGAATTTTAATAATTTTATGGGGTTTTTAAAAAATAATATATGAAATGCGCGACTCATGTTATGTATATTATGTTTGTAAAATTATATCAAAAATTTAAATTGACATAGTGTTTAAGCTTTAACTCTTGATTTAAAAGGTCTTGAGTTCAAATTTCCTCAAATGCAATATTTTACTAAAATTTCTCAAACAAAACTACGTCATTTTAGTGAGTCAGCCACATCAACAACATCATGTCGCACGACTGTCATGTCATCATCTTGTTAGATCTTAACAATGGAGTGGCATAATTACACTTAAAACTAAACGTTATGACTAAAATTGATAAAATTAAAAGTTTAATAGTATAAATGAGTCCGCTTTAAAGTTTGATGGTGTCTGGTGTAGTTTACCCTAAAAGCAATTAGGAAAAAAATTATTGGAAAAAGGTGGAGAGAGACTCCTGGGTCTGGGGGAAGCGGGCATGTGGATGAGTGGGGACACACCAGGACTCATCAATTAAACCCTCCTTGAAATGATTTTGTGACAAAAGAGAAAGGAAAAGGAAACCCTCTCCTATTGTCTTTTATTTTTCTCTCTATCTTTCACTGCTTAATGTCTTTTAATTGCTACAGAATTGCATTTTGTTTTTGGGGGCGGTGTATGAAAAAGGAAAAACCAAAAGTATAAGCTTTGAGCAGAGCTACCAACAAGTTTTCTATAGAGCATGGTGGCCTTGGCTAAGCCTTTGTTTTTGTTTCTCTTTGAAGAAGCAAATGGCTTTTTTTCTGTTTCTTTCTTTCTTCCTTCTTCAGTAAAAATGAATCATTGAAGATGCCTAGACCAGGTCCAAGACCTTATGTCTGTGAGAGAAGAGCTTGGCATAGTGATAGACACCAACCCATGAGAGGTTCTCTCATTCAAGAAATTTTCAGGTCTTTCCCCCACTCTTGCTTTTGTATTTCTTTCATGTAAATTTATTTCTACTAAGTCGTTTTTTTTTCGTATGTATTTGGATTTCTTAGAGTTGTTAATGAGATTCATAGCTCAGCAACTAAGAAGAACAAAGAATGGCAAGAGAAGCTCCCTGTTGTTGTCTTAAAAGCAGAAGAAATCATGTATTCTAAAGCCAATTCCGAGGTAAATTTTTGCACTTTTTGTTGAAATTTAACACTGTTTATCTTCCTTCATCTGCTCTGCCAGGTTGAGTTTTGCTGAAAAGGACAAGCCTTGATCATGATATTTTATGTTGTTTTTGCTAATTGACGAGTTAAAATGTTCACAAATTGTCACCTGTTTTTTGCTTGTATATTTGGGAAGCCAACCAAACGTGTCTATAGTATCATCATCTTCTTTAGGGGAGGGGATGAGATTGGTTATGTCAAGCTCATATTTTTTGCAACTAATTATTCTATAGGCTGAGTACATGGACATTAAAATCCTCTGGGATCGAACCAATGATGCCATTAACACGATCATTAGGCGTGATGAGAGTACTGAAACTGGAGAGCTTATCCAACCTTGTATTGAAGGTAATCGTTCAATTTTGTGCCCAATTTCCTTTGTTTGAATTTGAAGCCAAATATTTGCATATTTATTGGTTCTTTGTTGCTTCTGGCTTTAATTATGAAGATCACTTGCTTCAAATTGTACCTTTTTTCTGAGATGCTATATATCTATTTTATTGTTGGCTAGCTGCTCTTAATTTGGGCTGCACTGCAAGAAGAACTTTGAGGAGTCAACGCAATTGCAGTTCGAGGTGTTACCTTAACCCGGTCACACAAAAAACAGAGAATACTACTCAAGGAAATTTCTTAACTAATTCACACTGCATGGCTAGTTATTCCGGATTCATAAAACATACAACCATGAATGTGGTACATATGGGCACTGAAGCTCATAAACACATTGCTCAGAATGGTGACCGAGCCACCAACAAGATCTCCTTTCCATATAAGAATGATTCTCTTCCGAGTAATGTGGAGAAGCATGCTCCAAGTATGTATTCAGTTTATCCTCTTTTCTATGGGAACCACCCTAAAGTTGAAGAACTGCAGCATAGCTATGGAATCTCCACGAAGTCAATTTCTAACACAGTAGAGCCCGCTAAGATGGGTGTCATTTGTGACATCTTCTCTCCTGATGTGGACTCTTCGAGTAAGATGAACCATACAGATGTTAGAAATACTTCTAACAATCCACATGAAATTACCTGTGATCTATCGTTGCGTTTGGGCCCTCTTTCAACACCTTGCCCGAGTACTGGAAACAGTCCGCCCAAGGAAATTGAAAACAGTGGTTCCACCTTTCTAGAGTGGAACAGGTTCAGTCATCTGACATCACCAATTGACAAAAGTTTATCTTCCTTTCCAAGGAGCAACCGAGATGCCCCATTGAACTCATCTTCAAACAAATGGAGCCTTGAAGGTGGACATCTGAATGTAGATGCAACATTGAGCAAGCGAAAGGCAGTTTATGCTCCACCAGCCAATCAGCAATTTTGTTTGCCGTTAAAGCTTCCTTGCTGCTATTTAACTGAAAGAATGAAGCATGTAGGATCCTAGGCCGTCCTTTAAGACCATTGAAACTGGTTTGGTAAGTATGTGCTGCTGAAGCTCTTTTCCTTGTTTTGTCTTCATTTTTGTAGTTAAAGTTATATGTTAATGAGCAGTGTGTTAAAATGTTGCAAAAATGTAAGAGTTGCAATATTTGAATGAGTTCAGTTGGATGAGGGAATCACCAACAAAATGACCGAAGAGACTCTTGAACTATGACGTACAAATTATGTTGTCTTACATGTTGATTCTTGTAGAAGTATAACCCTATCATGTTCACTTTAAATGCTGATAAATGTGAATCTAAAGAGAAAAGTGTTGGTTTGTTGGAGTAGGATGACTGATGAGTGCTGCTTTTTCTCTTTTTCTTTTGCGTTTTGGATTTAGTATTGGGCTTGTGGCTACTTTTTTTTAGGTATGTGTACTAGTCATGGTTATCAAAACCGGTTTACTAGTTGTCTGTCCGGTCCGGTTAATTTTAAAAACCAATTTTGCAATGAACTGGTTGAAAACTGGTAGAATCGGTTGAGAACCGATAAAACCGGTGTGAACTGGCTGAAAACCGGCAAAACCGGTGTCGTCGGTTCTGTTTTTTTTTCTTTTTTTTTAAAAAAATTAAACCAAACGACGTCGTTTGTTAAACGAGCCGAGTTGAACTCGAGTATTGCTGAGTTTGACTCAAACTAGAATTGAAACTCAAACTCGAAAAAGCTCAAACTCAAAAAAAATTAGAAGCTCGATTGAAGTTTGAAACTCGAGCTCAATTTAAGCGAAAGAATTGTTCACGTTGTGCTCACCAAAAGGCTCTATGATTTTGAATGTCAAATTACCTCTATTATTTATAGAAGTCAGTTGTGATGTTCTTCTATGTTTCTTAGCCATGTGAGATTGTTTTGTTCTCCTATTTTTATTCTTTAGACTTTTGGCTCTATGATTTTGAATGTCAAATTACCTCTATTATTTATAGGAGTCAGTTGGGATGTTCTTCTATGTTTCTTAGCCATGTGAGATTGTTTTGTTATCCTATTTTTATTCTTTAGACTTTTGGGATGCTCTTCTATGTTTTTTAGTCATGTGAGATTGTTTTGTTCTCCTATTTTTGCTATTCTATGCTCTTTAGACGTTTTTCTGTAGTGTTGTATATATTAATATTTCTTTGAATATTGTGTGGAATTTAAAAAAAATATTTTATATAATTCGGTTCAAATTGATTGAACCACGGTTGAATCAGTGAACTAGTATTTTATCGGTTTAAGGTCCGGTCTGATTTTAAAAACACTAGTAATAGCTGGTGCCAGTGGTGGGGTCAGGATCTAATCTCTCTCTTTTTTCTTTGGTTTCATCAAGTTTCACAGCCTTGAATGTGGTGGAGAATATGAACCTTTTCTGGTGATGTAGTTTTGTCTTTAAAAAAGTTGAGGGACATAGGTTCTTGGCATCAGAGTTTTGAACCGACAAGAGACTCTCGTCTCTTAATCCATGAAAGGCTGCAATTGGGAACCTCTGAAAGAATTATTATAATTAAAATGGCGAAGAGAGGATATATAACCCGTGCCCCTATTCTCTTCCTAGGATAGGACTGTAAAATATTCTATTCAAAAAATTTAAAATTGAGCTCGAATCAACTCGAAAACTTATAACTTAAAATTTTCAAATTCGATTCGAGCTCTAAAATTAAAAAATAAACTCGACTAGAGCTCAAAAAATTGAACTCAACATTCTTAGACTTGTTCGATTCAAACTCGAACTCTAACATGAATTTTAAGTACATGCAAATATTATATTTGATAAAAATGTCCAGATAAGACATTGAAAAAAAATTATTGTGTATTGCAATTGATTTTTTATTTTCTCAATTAGGGAAAAGTCTACAGTGCTCAAGGGAAGATGATTGGACGACATGATAACTTTAAGAAGACGGTCTTCATTCTACGTGTATGACCCAACAAGAGCATGAATAGAGATTATTTGTAGAAGACATCATATTGTTCGATCGTCTTCCCCCAAGTCATCATGTAATTCTAACGTCTTTTTTGTTGCACTGTAAAAAGAATCTTACTTGAGAAAACAAACTCAGGTGATCATTATTTCAGAATTTTTTTTCACTTCATTGGTTGGCTGATTTTTTTTTCAAAATATTATATTTTTCCAACTAATTTTTTCCTATATATCATATTTTAAAAAATAACATATAAATATTAACATTATCAATAATTGAATTTAAAAATATTAAAATTTTAACATATTATTTTTTGAGTTGCTTGTGAGTTTTTGGAATCAGGTATCAAGTAGTCCGTTTTGACTTACTAAGAACTCAAGTCGAGTTTAAGTTTGAGTGGAGTCAATTTAAATCAAATATTAATCGAGCTTTAATCGAATCAAACTTGAGTAACTTTCGTTATGCCCAAGCTCATTCACATTCCTATCCAAAAATGTTTGTGTTGCCCACGTTGTGATCCGTTTGAAATAACTTACGTGGGGAGTTTTGATTGGATGCATAGTTGAGGAAGCCTGATCTCAAGGATGGAGATTGGGCTTGCAAAGGTCATTGAGAAAAGGCAGTTGGTATGAGTGTTTTGAATAATTGGGCCACTGGAGTCGGTAATAATGCAAAGGTTCCAATGTAGGAAAGAAAGGGAGCAATTTGCCGGGTAAACAAATGAGATAAAGTTGTCCACTAACATTTCTTACCTAATCGATCCCCAAATTCAAAACACACATACAAGGATTATCAACTTTGATTCATAAAGTTGAAGGTTTCAAAAGGTTTATAAGATTACCTAACGCATGCTTTTGTTGATGCTTTGTTTTTTCAAACACGTCCACTTGTCTTTCAAAAATACCTTTTATCATCAGCACCCAGCCTTCCTCAGTCTCCATCGGTATGACCTTTTGCTCATACCGGCCTTCCTATTATATTTCTCTCCACGGTTGACTCTTCAACAAAAAGTTGTCAAAGATTTTCATGTCCATTATTATATAATATAAGAAAAAAATTCCAAAATTGATTTCAAAAATTTCTACAATGAACATGGACGATTGGGATTTCAAGGAAAAATACAATTAACACATTTGTATTTTTAATTTAATAAAAATAATATATTTAATGTAAAAATATCAAAGATTTGATTAGTGTTCATATATATATATATATGAACACTTGACTCATCTTCATAAATTAACAAAGTCTAAAGTTAACAGGTCCAAAATAAATTTGTTATTTCTAGATGCTCTCCAATAATATATTTGATTTCATTATGTGGTTGTTGGACTTCAAATATGATGAGGATTTGGATAAAAACGATATAATATAGGTTTTTATATAGAACAAGAAAAGTGACATCACATGGTAACATAATGGATCTCCAACAAGCTGCCCATATACATGCACGATCACCACTCGCCACTGAGTGCATGTGATGTGACGCATTTTTCACCTTAAACTTTGCAAAAGACAAAACCCCATGCACTGCGAATTTAAAGCGGCCGATGTGTGCTTTCCTCCCAATTCATGTCTAAACCCAAACTAAATAATGAGTAAAAGAAAAGATTGATAATTAAGATGAAATCATGGGAGCAGGTCCGGTATTACCACCATCGATCATACATATCCATGTGAGAAACCCATGAAACGCTGTTTATTTGCCGTGTGGCTCCATACATCATCGATAGAGATTCGAGATAGATTACGGGATCAAATTCCTTCTATGTATTGACTTTCGCAGACAGCCTAAGCAATGCAAAAACCATCATTTCACTTTTATTTTCAATCCCATTGATGATGGTAAAAGTTCCTCTCAAATCCATTTATTATGGGGCCAGTTCAAATAAGTTCAACTACTATTAAATGGATCAATTTAATCCTTGTACATTAAATAAGGCTAAATTTCACTAGAATTAACATCTATATTTAAAAAAAAACTTATTTGAACAATATTAGGGTAAATTACTCCAAATGTTACTAAACTATGTTCAAATGACCGTTTTGGTCGTTGAACTTTTAAAAACTATAAAAAATCATTAAATTTATTGAATTGTTATGAAACAAATATTAAATTTTATCAAAATGTTATAAAATTATCATTAAATTAAGCAAACTTTTAGAATATATTATACAATTGCATTGATTATTTTATAATATTTTGATAAACTTAATAATTTTTTGATAAATTTAAAAATTTCAGTGACAATTGATCATTTGAGTATAATTTAGTGACATTGATAGGCTTTATCCTTAATTTTAATAATATGAAGATTAATTAATTCATTTAATAATAAAATAGAATAGTATAAATCGTCTCTTATACTTAACTTGTCAAGTAATTTCACTTGCTAATCATCGTGAGAGAAAGAGAGATCCAATGATAAATATTCTAATTATACACATCTTATAGATATAATTACTTAAATTTGATATATCATAAGAGAATAACCCTCTTTTTGTCCATTGAGACCGTTCAATGAATTTAGTTCTAGTTAAATAGTTTATTGTAAAGGTTATGGTAGTAATGAATGTAATTGATGAGTTGGAAGAATATAAATCAAATTATTAAGATCATGGATTCAAATAGCTATTGGATAATGGAATAACAATAGTTATGTAGTGATAGTGGTGTTTGAAATTGGTGTAACAAAATAAAGCAGTGTACAACGGAATCACACCAATAATAGTAGATTGCAATCACAATTTAATGGGTACCAATCAATAGCGATGATAGCAGACCATTATTCCCATTCTTATTTTGCTATTATATTTATATTTTAAAAAATAATCTCATTTTTAAAAGAAAATGAACTCATTTAAAAAGTTTCACGATCACTATACCCACAATAAATACAATAATTTTCATTACGTCTGTAACTATAATAAATGCAATATAACTGGAAATAAGAAAACAACTCTCATTTAAATTTTTAACTAATAATAATTAGCAATTTGCTATGTAGGGGTATGCAAAAATACCCGACCCGAACTTAAAAAATAGGTAATTTTTTTTTAAAAAATTACCCGGCCCGATATTTTTCGGGTCGGGCCTGGGTCACAAAATTGAGTTTTTTCGGGTACCCGGTTAGTTTTTATTTTTTTATTATATATATATATAATGAATTATTTATATTATGGATTATTAGATTTTGTATTTCGAACTTTTAAATTTTATGTTCGGATGTTGGAGTATGTAATTCGAAGTTTCGAACATTTAAATTTGTATATATTTTTTTAAATTAATAATTTAAAAATGAAAAAAACCCGGTTAACGCGGCCCAATTACCAAATACCGTAACATCCGAATCAAAACACGGATCAATAAATCACCAACCCCGCCGAAAATTTGATACCCGAATTTGTACACCCCTAATATTTGGTATGCAATATGGCAGCCGGCGGGTACAACAGAGTTGTTTGGCACCTTCACAGCAGAGCGGTCCCATGACTGATAATATAATATTGGATTAAATGAATTCTTAACAATATATATTTTATGCATAGTTGGTAGTGACATTTATGATGGATGTCAATTACTTCAGTATGAAAAATCATATAATAAAAATGCCTTATTTTCTTTTTTCTTTCAATTCTATAATAATCTTCTACAACTTCTGCTGGCAGCCTTAATTTTTATTTTCCTTTTTCTTTTTAAATTAAAAATATACATTTTACAATCGGACACGGCAACCACTAGTTATTAAATATTGGTTTGTAAATTTCATCTAAGTCAGTGGATCGAAATCCTTAAATTATTATTATAATTTTTATATAGGTTAACCAATTTCAGGATATTCTCCACCTAGCTCCACTTCACTGGGTTATACGTTTCATTGCCTTCTGTTTAAACTAGCCTTGTTATTGATATACAACTTAATAATATATTTATTTTATTTAATTTAAATCTGATTAAAAATATAAAATAAAAAGAATTTATTGTTAATTCATATATTAGAATATGAATAATTTTATTTATTTTCACGATAAATATTATTGCGTGTAAAATTTTATATAACGAATTTTTGGTCATGTGACAATTACAATATGCCAAGTTGCAATAGAATAAAGTTCCACACTTATATTTATTTGCGATCGCATGTGATGTGTTATAATTCACGAGGCATAGACTGTGAGTGGCCAACAGATGTTTCCTTCCTAATCCTATCTAGGGATGACAATTCAACCCGAATCCGACAGGTTCCGACCCGACCCGATCGGGTTGGATTTTTTTTTTAAATAAATTCGGGTCGGGGTTTTTTATGCACAGTTCGGGTCGGGTTTAAAGTGAAAAAAATCCGACCTACCCAAAAAAATATATATAATTTTACCATATATATTTAGAGATAATTACAATAATACTCCTCTATATATAATTTTTTTCAATTAAGTCACTGTTTTTATTGAATAAAAATATTTTTTTTATTTCGGGTCGGGTTGGGTCGGATTTCTAAGTCATATATTCGGGTCGGGTGAAACCTTAATTTCGTCGGGTCAGGTCACGGGTAGAGACCCTTTCTTCTCAGATCGTATGGCCCAAAAACTCGACCCGACCCGACCCACCATCCCTAATCCTATCCACATTCATTCCACTGATTCAAGGCTCACGCAAAAAAATAAGAAGTTTACTGCAGAATTGGGCTATTTATTTGCGGCATAGTGTAGCTTTTATGAGATTGAGCTAAAGATCAATGAATAATTCAATTCCCTATCCGTATATTCCAGATATTTTATCTGAAGACTGTTAGGAAGATGTTAGATACTCTTTGGAGGTGATTTATGTAACAGTTTAAATTCCATTTAAAATATTTAATGAGTTAATAAATATTATATTTAGATCATCGAAGTAACTTACGGAATTCCTTTTAAAAACATAATTTAAATTAGATAATTAAAATGAATTTATAACTCCAATTGAAACCAATTTAAAGTATCTTAGAAAAGTTAGAACACCACAAATTAAAACACATATAAAATAATGATTATAAATCAAATAAATTTATAGTCTTTAATCATTAAGTAAGGTTCTACGATATCCTAACTCGAACGTAAATATAATGTTAACTATCTATATAGAGAAATAATTCGAAAGTTGAGCATTATGAGCTCAATAATACACAACACTTAACGAATAAACATGAAACAGGTACTGTAAGCAGGTTAAGCGTAAATGTGACGTGAGACACTTAAAACATATAACATTATTTACAATACAAAGAATCAAATATTAGTCTCATGCTTAAGCTAAATGCTTTCTTCTATTAAACACGTACACATAAAAAGACTAATTAATAACAAAATATTTACTCATGTACATGACAAATTATTTTAGATTTGTTATCGTTAGAAGAGTCCGGCATATTAGGGATAGAACAATATATTTACAGATATAGAGCAACCATATCGAAAGTCACATCAAACAGTAAACGTAACAACATATATATATTATCGCAAGCACAATTCGTATTAAATATAAACATTTAATATTGCCAAACTAATCTCTTACTTTGGCCAAAAGTGCTTGGATTAACACTCTCGTCATGGCTCGAAATTTGAATAGTTACAATTCACATTATTTGAGATATTTATCGAGTCACGAGACCCTACATAAAGAAATTAAATATTTTATTATAATTAGGTTTTAATGTCATATCTTTTAACATAAAGATATTTGTGATGACACCATCTCATAAACCGTGTGATCCACCTTCAAAATACTCGTAATACTATCTTAAAGATGATAGAAGAAAAAACTCAAAACTAAAATTATACATAAACATTCTAAAACTAAAAATGTCCAAACCTTCAAAGTTTTAACGGATTATTTGACTAATAACATTTTAAAAACCTTTTTATAATCTAATTTGATTTCAAATTTAATCAGATTTTATATGAACATCAATCGTTTAAATTTCGATGGACTTAAAATGATATGCTGTTTAGAGATTTAGGGCATAACACTGTTATTTCTAAGGACCTTGATCCCTTTACATTTGATTGCAACGAAGTAATAAGATTAAACACTAAAAAGTAATAATTAGACTTTTTTTAATTCTTTTAACGATAATAACATACATCGGAAAATGAATATGTCTACTTTTATGACATTCGATATTTGATTTATTAACTAATTAATAAAAATTTATTATAAGATGATTTTCTCTTTAAAGTTATTCTATTTTTAAATTTTAAATATTATTTAAATAATCTAACACCTCACCATTAATTAGTAGTCGATAACTAATCTAATTTTTGATATATTTTATTAAATAATATTTCAACTATGATTGAGCTCTATATCATTGTTATTATTAGTTTAAGAAATCCTCAATTACATTAGCTTATTTTATTATTTAAAAAAATATTTATTAGTTAATTTGTTCAGAAAAATATTTATTAGTTAATAAAATTTATAATATTTCGTATATTATTATCATTGTGTCACCTTTAGTTTCTTTTCTCTATTTTTATAGTCAACTTTCACTTTCAATATAATTCAACTTGTTCCATCACTAAGTATGACTAAGAAAATTTAAATAAAAAATATTATTATATATTGTCTCAACCAAAGAAAAGAATATTATATTGTAACAAATGAACCATACAAAATTATTATTATTACTAAATTTAATATATATATATATATAACGTTGAAAACTTTGTTCAGTTGATGATTTATTAAAAAATGTAAAAAATTTGTTTATTTGAAATGTTTATTTCTATAGATTGAGATTATTATTGATAAAATAATATTTGTTATAAATATTATATAAATGAATATACTTAAATATTTAATATGTTTAATTTATTTATGAAAATTTAGATAATACATATATAATATCAAATAATTAAAAAAAAAGATAGTTATGTGTAGTTTTATAGTTTCAACAGCCAACAGAGTTCCATTCCCATGTTTTTGTTTGACAACACTTTTGACTTGTGCTTCTTTTTTTCATTCCTTCTTACATTCATTTATTGGAACTATCAACCAAACCCCACCCCATTCTTTTTGACAGTTTCTATATCATCTCTGGAAGACCAAAACATCAGAAAACAAAAAATGAAAACAATTTTCCAAACCCAAAAAAAATATAAATATATAAATAGAACAGCTTGAAAAGGATGGGAAGGCAGCTCAGATCTCTCTTCAACTCTATGACAGAAGCAGAAACAGATTTAGGAAAACGCCAGAGACCCATGTTTGCAAATGCAATCTCATCCAACAAAATGTGCTGAGAGGCTGCAACCTACCCTTTTTCTTTCGTCTTCTATATTCTCTTCACTCTCTCCTTTATAATTAATTGCTGATGTAAACAGGGGAGTACTTATGTTCTAAGTTTGCTTCTCCTACTACTGTATGTGTTTATCCAAAAAAGCTTCCTTTCATGGCAAGGTGAAGAGCATCCATCGATTCTAGTCGGTCGGGTCTTTTTGTACGTTCCATTTAACAGTGTCCATCATTTATAGGTGGGTCTTTTGATTCTCTTCCTTCAATTTTATTATCCTTTTTTTTTCGTTTGAGCTGGTGACAAACCATTAGTCTGGTTTCTCACCCCCTGAATTGAAGTTTCTGCTTTGTATTTCAAAATCCAGACTTTATTGAATATTTAACTTAAATATGTCTACATCTTCAAATCTGCTTCCTCCATAGCTTAGTAATGTTTTGTGAGGAGTTTGGTGGATGAATTTCCTGAAACCCAGAATTTATTCTTGCCTAGAAAACCTGTTTTTATTTTCTATATATCCTCTTTGGTTCTAGCCTATTGAGGTCAAAAATATTTTCTCTTTCTTTTGGGTTATTTTGTTGTTCTCTGCTATGAAGACTCCTAGTTTTGGTTCTCAACTTGGGAGTTTTATAATGGAAAGTGGGGGTTTTATTCGTTTGCTGGGATTTTTTGCGCTGTCTAGCCTTTTTCTCTCTGAAATCTGTGGGCTAGCATTCGAAGAATTGGGTCGATTGAACCGGGTTTTCAAGGAACTCAAATGGATTGGATCGACAATGACGGGTTGTTTCTTGTATCTAACAACTCGGCATTTGGTTTTGGCCTTACCACTACCTCAGATGTAACATTGTTTCTCCTTGTTGTCATGCACATGGACACCACTCAAGTAATTTGGGCCGCTAACAGGAACGTTCCTGTTTCGAATTCTGATCCCTTTTTGTTTGACAAGAACGGCAACGTGTTATTGCAGAAAGGAGGAAAAGAAGTTTGGACGACAAATACCGGTGAAAAAGGAGTTTCAGAAATGGTGTTGATGGATTCAGGGAACTTGGTTTTGCAAGGGAATGATGGCACGGTAATATGGCAGAGTTTTGCTCATCCTTCCAATACCCTCATTACGGACCAAGAGTTTAGAGAAGGAATGAAACTTGTAAGCGATCCTAGCGCCAGTAACCTGAGCTATATTCTCGAGATCAAGTCCGGCGACATGGTTCTTTCGGCAGGTTACTCAACCCCGCAGCCGTACTGGTCCATGGGGAAGGACGCACGAAGAAACATTAATAAGAATGGTGGGGAGGTCACTTCAGCATCCATTGATGGGAATTCATGGAGTTTATTTGATGAAAGCAAAGCCTTGTTGTGGCAATTTACAATCTCGGATCCTACTGATGCAAACGCCACTTGGATTGCAGTTTTGGGAAGTGATGGCTTTATATCTTTCTTCAATCTCCATGATAAAGGGTCATTGGCATCAGCTAAGATCCCGGACGATCCTTGTGGCACACCAGAAGCTTGTCAGCCATATTTTGTTTGTTCAGGACCTTCAGGAAACACCAGATGCCAGTGTCCGTCACCACTTAGTTCCAGTGCGTGCAAAGCAGGCATCGACTCTCCTTGCGGTCAGGGAAAGGACTCTGTAAGCCTTGTAGATGCCAGAACCGGGCTAGATTATTTTGCCGTCAACTATGTTTCTCCATCGTCAAATACCGATATGAGCAGTTGCAAAGAATCCTGCTTGAGTAATTGTTCTTGTATGGCTATGTTCTATGACAATAGTTCGAGGAATTGTTTCCTTTTTGACCAGGTTGGCAGCTTCCAAAACTCTAACCAGGGGTCTGCTTTAGTTGCTTTTGTCAAAATGTCAAGCAATGGAAATGGTGTAGGGGATGGCGGCGGCGGCAGGAAAAGCTTCCCATATGTTGTGATTATAGCTGTTGCTACGGTTCTTGTCATTTTGGGATTAATCGTTGTGGCATATGGATACTATAATATAAAGAAGAAAATGCCAGGATCTCCTGATGATACCTCAGAAGAGGATAACTTCTTGGAGACTTTAACTGGGATGCCTACTCGTTTCACTTATAATGACCTTCGGACTGCCACAAATAACTTCTCAGTTAAGCTTGGACATGGAGGATTTGGCTCGGTGTACCGAGGGACTCTTCCGGATGGAACTCAAGTAGCTGTGAAGAAACTGGAAAACATTGGTCAAGGAAAGAAAGAATTTCGAGCTGAAGTCGGTATTATCGGCAGTATCCATCACGTCCACCTGGTGAGATTGAAAGGCTTTTGTGTTGAAGGAAACTATCGACTTCTTGCTTATGAATACATGTCGAATGGTTCCTTAGAAAGATGGATCTTCAAGAGAAACAGAGAAGATGCGCTGCTGGATTGGGGAACAAGATTCAATATCGCAGTAGGAACAGCTAAAGGGCTAGCTTATCTCCATGAAGATTGTGATGCAAAGATTGTGCATTGTGACATAAAGCCAGAGAATGTATTGCTTGATGACAATTTCCTAGCCAAAGTCTCGGATTTCGGCTTGGCAAAGCTAATGACCCGAGAGCAAAGCCATGTTTTCACCACTCTAAGGGGCACCAGAGGGTACCTTGCACCCGAGTGGATCACAAACTACGCGATATCAGAGAAGAGCGACGTTTACAGCTATGGCATGTTGCTACTCGAAATCATTGGCGGAAGAAAAAACTTCGATCCTGGAGAATCTTCAGAGAAATCCTATTTGCCATCCTATGCTTTCAAGATGTTAGACGAAGGGAAGCTGATAGATATCCTCGATTCGAGGCTGACCATAGAAGGAGAAGATGAGAGAGTTTACACTGCAATCAAAGTTGCATTATGGTGCATACAAGAAGATATGCATTTAAGGCCATCCATGACAAAAGTCATTCAAATGCTAGAAGGTCTCTCCCCAGTTTCAAAGCCACCAATGTCATCTCCATTAGGATCTCGCCTTTATTCGAGTTTCTTCAGATCGATGACGATGAGCGGAGAGGGCACGTCCTCGACATCAGCCTCAGCACCATCGGACTACAACAGCGATGCTTATCTTTCAGCTGTACGGCTTTCTGGTCCAAGATAACAATCACTTAAAAAGAGTAGAGGTTACTGGAATTATTCTATAGATTTGTATTATCAATATGATGTTTAACATCTCATATGGCCTGTATATTTATTAGATTATTGTTAATTTTTTTTGTAACATCAGCTATTAGCTATAATACAAGTCAAGTCCTAGTGTTGATTATAACCCTCCTGGTCTGGCGGCTGTCAATGGTGACTGCAAAAATGATGATTAATAATAAGATTATTAAAGTTGTTGCAAAGATGAGATCATTAGACATCGGTAAAATTAGTAATAATAAACAAGGTTGAAGAAAGACCCCAGCATAACCAGCCATCTTTATCTTTGCTTAAAAGCGTCTGTTTTCTGCCTTACCATTTAGGTGATTCAGTTTATTAAGCAAATCAATCACTCTTGAGTTTGACTACATCCATTGTATTATGATTATCAAAGCAAAGTCTTGTCTAATATAATTAGGGGTGTAAATGAATCGAGCATTCAACAAATTATTTGTGAACCGTTTAAATAACGTTTATTTATGTTCACGAATAAAATAAAATGAGTATGAATAAAATTTTAATGTTCATCTACTAATAAACGAACACGAACAAAAATGTATTCGATTCATTATGTTCACGGGCAAGCTCGTTTAAGCGTTTATTTTTTTTACATTTTAAATATTGGTGAAGATATAAACTAAATTGAACGCAAAGTAAACTTTGGAGTTCAAAATGTGAAGTTTAAGGAATTTAAGGATTTGTGGCATAATTTCATCATTTTTCTTTGACTTGGAAATAAAAAATTAAAAAGAGTATTGATTGCTTAACATTAAAATAATATTTAAATGGATATGTTCGCGAACGTTAAATAAATATATTCATAAAGGTTAAATAAATATGTTCGTGAATGTTAAATGCATTTGTTCACAAACGATAAATAGAAGAGTACAAATACTTTAAATATAAATAAACAAACACGAATATGATACTAAAAAATTTAAATGAACATTAATCGAACACAAACATAACTTTACTTATTTAACCATGGTCAAATATCGGACAAGTATAGTGTGATTTGTAGGTAAAGTTTCACTAATATAGATTATGACATTTTAGTAATAAGAAATATTCTAATACTAGGTTTAAAATAGTTAGTTAATGAATTGAATATTAATAATTATAAAAAAGTTATTTAATTAAAAAAATAAGTAATGGGGAGAGTGGAAGAACATATTTAGTTATTTAACCGTCCGTAATTCTCCGAAATTCCAAGTAAAAAAAAACCCGTACGAAAACCGTATTTTTGTTAATCTAAGAAAAGAAAAAAACGTATTTCCGTAACCGTATTGTAACGGGGAGTGTCATTTACCCTTGGAATAGTGAGTTTACCTGGAAATGGTTTTGAAAGCCGCTCGTATAAAATACCCTTCAGCCTTCAAAGAAACAGTATTCGTACAACTATCACATAGACAAAAAACTAAAGTTCAAATTCCAATTAAATTTTGAAGATCTTCCTGCTTAGGGGATTAGTTCCTTTAATCTCCACTGTTTGCCTTACTATCTTCCTTTTACTCGGATCCTTCGCATTTTCTATACTAATTTCTCTCATTAATCTTCTTCTGGGCTTCATGGAGTGTTGATTTATCGCACGCTTTATGAGGTAAGAAAGACCAGAACAACTCTCCTTCTCTTTTTTCTCCTAAGAAAGACTGAGGGATTTCATGTTTGTTATTTGGTAAAAGTAGATAAATGTGAAGCGAAATGTGTTAGTTGTTTGGTGGCGTTGTAGATCTCTGTGCTCATCGGAGCTTTGCTTTACTTAAAGTCATTTTATTTTAACTCGGTTTTTTATCGACTCCATTCCGCCTTTTTTGCGCATGTTTTTTCCCGCTTTTTGTTTGCTGTTTATCTGCAAAGAATAGATCTAAGTTAGTGTTCTTTTTTGCGCATTTTTCTTGAATGTTATAGCAACAACAAATATTATAAACGTTATTTGGGGGGGGATTAAGCGTCAACCAATCGGAGCCATATTTACCGTTTATGAAGCTGAAATAGATAGACGTGGATAGACATAGACCAATCAAAATTAGTAAGTATTGAAATTTGTATTGCTCCAAGGGTTTTGAGAAATTTTAAATTAGGCTCACAATTTTGTTTGTTTTGTTTTTGTCAGCTTGATGGATTCAGAAAGTAACTTGTCTTCGTTTGGGCTTGAAGCCGTCCACCTAAATGGTGTTTATCCACTACTTCGGGTTCCTGGGGATGATAGTGGTTCAGATAATGTGAGTGGAAATGTTGAGGAAACTTTTGAAACTTATTTGCAGATTGGAATGGATGACAATGGAGAAACTGAGGAAGCTAGAGAACAATTAAATGACTTGGTGGAGAGCAAAGGATTGATTGATTCTGAGGTATTAGAAGTCTGATTATTTGAGTGCTTTTATTTATTACCATTAGTTTGATACCATATTCAGGAGTGTCTGTATTTATAGGAACAAGAAGTAAAAGATAATGTGAGGCAATCCAAACCTCAAAAGGTTCAAGGCAAAACTAAGAATGAGAAGCCATTTGGTCCCAAAACTGTTCATTCAGCTTTGGTGAAGAAAAACAAAGATGGAAAAAGTGCAGAGGCGACATTAACACCTTCAAATGGTGGTTCTGTTGCTACAAGTCCAGGTCTGAGTCTGCCTCATAAAAACAGACCAGTTAATGAAAGACAAGCCAATGCATCTAAGGTTAGAGTTGTTTGCATTTCATCTTCTGATTGTTTTCCTTTTTCAATTATTGCTCCTGCCTTTTTGAGTATTGCTTTTCTCCTCTCATCTTCCTACAGCAATCTGAAACCTCTGATGCAGCCTTCTCTGAAGGAACTACGTACGTGCTATTCGTGCTTATGTTTCAATTTCTTAGCTTTCTGTTTTTTCATAAAGCCTTTTTGCCTTTGATATTGATTACATTATCCAACTGAAGGGGGAAGTTCATAGTGGTCACCTTTTATCTGTATATTTCCCCTGAAACTTTCTTGCTAGATGATGACAGATCTTTCTCCTGTCATTTTTGAACTGTTCTATTGAATTACAGGGAGAGATCCAAGCTCAAGCCTCTCAAGAAAGGGCCTGTTACTAAATCTGAAGCAGACTCAGAGTCCTCGTATCCTATCCAGTTTGAATGTTTTTTTTGTGTGTATTACTTTCTGACTGGGACCGTGGGTTGAAATACGTTGATACTCGAGTTTCATTTGCACTGCACTCTTTAGCCTTCTATTTCTCAATTCACTATGTTTATGTTTATCCTTAATTGCTTCATAGAACTCCCACTTCAACTGATGCCAAACCTCGTAGGGTTGGTACTCTTCCAAATTATGGTTTCAGTTTCAAGTGTGGCGAACGGGCTGAGAAAAGGAAAGAGGTTGGTGCTTCTATTATGTTCTCAAGATATACAGTGTATTCCTGCAGCTCTTTCACTTAAGTCTTCAACATTGTATTCTGCAGTTCTACACTAAACTTGAGGAAAAGATTCATGCAATGGAAGTAGAAAAGAGTAACTTGCAAGCTAAGTCCAAGGTGCTATTTTTGTGAATCCGATGGTGTCTATAATCCAGTTTTAGTTCTTTCTTGTCATAATAATACTTCAATTTTCTCCCAGGAGACACAAGAAGCTGAGATTAAGATGTTTAGGAAGAGTTTAAACTTTAAAGCAACTCCATTGCCAAGCTTCTATCAGGAACCTCCACCTCCTAAGGTGGAATTAAAGAAGGTTAGTTGATTCTCCTGATGAGTAAAATACTAGATGATCAGTTCAATACAGAAATTGGCTTGAGAAAATTTGTCTTGGTATTTCAATTTCAATGACAATGGCATGAAATGCTGATCATGCAGGTGCTTAGTTATTTTCAAAGCCTTAGCTTTAGGTTTGCCACCTTTTCCTATTGTACACCTTTCTTATTCAGCCATTTGCATGTCTCTGTTCATCATCCTATAAGAGCCATTTTCTTTTCTGAAAGTGCTGTTTTATATTGTTGAGTTGCAATTTATATCTCATTTCTCAACGCAACTTTCATTGTTACTTGTAGTTGTTGATACATTTAGCTTTGATGGATAACTTTGAATTGAACTGCTTTAATTTGCTTTGGCCCAATCCTGACCTGACAGGCCAATTTATTTATGCTTTCCCGAGTGTGTGGACACATTCATCATTTTATGATAATATATTTCATGCTCTGTTTTGGATTACACTTGTTAACCGTAGTATGATTTTATTTCTATTTTTCCTTTTCATGTGGCTGCATTGAGTTTCTCAATATTATGCAACATCGACCCTTTTCTTATTGCCTTGATGCAGATACCAACAACAAGAGCTAAATCTCCAAAGCTTGGTCGGAAAAAAAACACAACTCCTTTAGAATCTGATGGTAACAGCAATAGTGATCTTCAATTAGGCCGGCTAAGTTTGGATGAGAAAGCATCTCTGAGTATCTCCTCCAAAGCAATTTCTCCTGTCCATATAAAAAAGCCACAAAGGAAATCACTTCCCAAACTGCCTTCTGAGAAGACTAGTTTGCCTAGTGCAACAATTGAGGAAAGTACATCTAAGGCATCCAATCAGACATCTCTAACTGAATCTAAAGCAACTACTGAGGGAAAGATCGCCTCAGGCTCATCTAAAGTGACAAACAAGGAGAGTACCACCTTACCTAATGCAACAAATGAGGAGTTATCTCCCGTCCAACAGCAGGAGGCAATTTCTAGAGCTGATTCAAGTGGAAGTCAGCCCGACACTGATCAAGGGCCAGTGATCAGAAAGCAAGGACAGCTGGGGTTGGAACAATAGCTCCATTTTTACTGAAGCACCAAGCATGGCAATGGTTTTTAGTGGATGTTCATGTACAAAGCTCTTGACCCCTTTGTTTTGCGTAAATAAGGAATGATGTCTCAAGACTGAATCATTTGATGAATCTAAGGCATGATAAATTATACATTATGGGTTATGATGTTGTCTTCTCCAAATATTCAGCACATCTTTGGTTGTTTTGTGTGTCAGCTTTGCAAAGCTTGCTGGGCTTATTGTCCTAGTTGTATGTCAACCCACCTTTACTACCAAGTTGTCCTAATACTTGTTGTTTTCACTTTTTAAGGATGGTTTATTTAGTATATTTTTTGATTTTTTTTCGAGTATTGGTGAGCTTCACTCGACTTAAAAAGTTTAAAATTGAGTTCGATTCGATTCAAAAAATCGTGAGCTTAATATTATAAAGCTCAACTTGAACTAGAAATAAAAAATTGAAGCTCGATTTGGAAGCTCGCGAGTTTAAAATTTTTAAACTCGACTTGAAATTAAAATTTGAAGCTTTACTCGAGTTTGAAAAAACTTGAACTTGTAACATTCTCAGACTTAGTTTGATTTAATCTCCAACTTGAATATTAAGTACATGAAAAAAGTATATTTTATTTTTTTAAATAGCCATATAAATATTAATATTCTTAATAATTTAATTTAAAATATCTAAAGATTTCATATTATTTTTCTGAGTTGTTCTTGAGCTTTTCGAGTTAGGTATAAAATAATTCGCTTGTTAAGAATTTAAGTCGAATTCAAACTTGAATTGAATCTATTTGATTCAAGTGTTATGACCAAATCGATCTTGAATAGCTCGACATTTGTATTGTGTCCTTTACAGTCCTACTATTATACAGTTTGATGATTCATGATCGAACATTGTGTGTCCAAACCAAATGAAAACTTAATGTTGTTAATTATGCCAATATTAAAGTGGAGCCTGCTGCATTGTGTAAATATGTTTTTTTGTTATATCACATGTAATTAGAGCCTACATTTTTTGCAGAGACGATGAGCATCGGCCAACCTTACCGCAATTAATAGGCTTTCAGGTAGGGCCAGTATTTAATAGTATTGTTATACCACGGTTGAAAGTTTAGAATGGTCATCGGCCTCCTTTGTTTTCCTTTCTCTTGGGACTAATTTGGCAAACCGAATCCAATTGTGTTTGATTGATGTCATATACTCATATTAGTTGCATCTGTAGTCATTATGATAATTTACTCATAAATCAAAATTGTGTATTATTCGAAGTTTGTCTAGAATTTATGTTAAACGATTTCTTTTAGGTGATTAGCTAATAAAGACTAGTCTACGTCATGAACCATACTTTTTCTCATTAAATCCAATTAATCCAGTTTTGTAGAAATCAATTGGAAATAGTTTCTTGTTAGTGCAATTAGATAGTTTGTTTGTTATCCTTATTAGTGAAGCTGTATAAATACGTATGAAATGTAAATTTAACTCTTGTGAAATAAAGGTGAGGTATTATTCATTTTAACAAGTTTTCAATTCAACTGTTTTTTATTTAAAATAAAATTTTAGGTATTAATAATTTGTTTTTTTTAAATTCCAAGTTTGGGTTAAAAATTAACAATAAATTCTTAACTATATTAAAAAAATGAAACGCATCGAGACAAAATGGTTTCAGAAGTAGAGTTACGAACTGTAGCACAAATATACCAAATCTCATTCGGTCTCGTCTATGATTCATTGTTTTGACATCACTCTCCTAAGACAGGGTCCAACAATCAGGCCCAAGTGAATGGACCAATCCCTTAGTTCTACTTATGACACGATTTGACAAGTCACTCAGATCAGTTATTTTGCGTTTAATTTTATCTATAACAGTCGGCATTTGGAGATGATGCTATCGACTATTTAAAGACAAATTGAATCCACAAAGTCTAGCTTCATGTAATGAGATGCTGAAACATGGTTGATCAAAAAAAAAAAAGATTATGTTTCCACATCATTGGATGCTCTGTAGATTCTTTTTACCTTCTGATAATCATCTAAATAGATTTATTTTTCCCTTAACAAGCTTTGTTGGAGCATGAAGTTTAGATCATTTCACAATCAGCAGATTTCACAGTAAGTTGAGATCAAAGCAGCGATCATTAATTTTTACATACATTAAGTTTGATTACGTTTATTGACTATGGCAACAGAAACATACAAGACCTCCAATGGCGGATTTAATACTCGTTACATTGTTGAGGGAGGTTACAAACTACAGTTCAGAGCACAAGATGAAACCAGCAAAACTAGGGCTTGGTAAAAAAGGGAAAAAAACAACTCCAAGAGTTGTCATGGCAGACTATATAAACCGGCTGCCATGGCCAAAGCCCATGAAAGCTAGACATCGAACTTACTTTGAACTGCCAAAAGCAAAACCACAACTACGATGACTCGAGGTTCTCAATCCGCCATTGAAGAAAAAGGAAAAAAGACCCAACCGTCACGTGTAGAACATTGAGTTCAAAAACGTGAGACTAGGTAAATCACGAAGGACGATAATAGTACAACAAGCTTACCCCAAGTAAGAAGTGAACAAGGCTAAGCAAAAACAACATGCGCCAGAAACCCAGCAAACTGAAACCTTTTAACATGAAGAAAAAAAGACACCCCTAAAATCCAGAACTCAGCAGCAACTATATTCTCAGGGACGTTCGGCCATGAAGAAACCAACCCCATTATTGGGATTCAAAAACAGATCTCTGATAAAAAGAAACCTGCAAAAAATGTTACGGAGAATGGCCATATCCCTGGAAAAAGGGTCCGAGTTCCGGACCGTAGAAGACCCATAGCTGATGGACCCAAAAACTACACACTTCTGCCACGAAGGCTATTCTGAAAGCTTCTTGGTGGGTGGAAACCCGAGTTACTGATAATCCCATACTGCGGTGTTGTTCAGAAAAGGATATCACACCTCCATAGCCGCTCCACAAGCAGGTCAACTGCACTGCTGCTGATTGCCTCGCATTTCTGGAGGTTTAACCCCAGGAGGGTCTGACCCAATTTTCCAAGTGATGGCAGGCTTTTGTCTGTGACCATAGAGCAACCAGAGACGGATAAGATCTGAAGATTGATCAGACCAGAGCGAGCAAGAGCTGCAATTCCGGAGTCGGTGATAACACACTTGGAGACATCTAGATCGCTGAGCAACTGACAGTCCTCAGCAATTGCAACCAAGCTGGCATCACTGATCTTGCAACAACCATCAAGATTCAGCATCTCTAGAGTCCACCCATGTAAATCAGCCATCTTGCAAACAACTTTGTCACTCAAATTTAGACAATCACTGAGATTAACCTTCACCAAACCAGCCTCACAGCTCTCAAGCAATGGGAGAAACCCAGCATCTGTTATTCCATGAAGCCCACTCAACTCCATGTTCTGCAGACGAGGGCATAACTTTCCCAAAGCAGCCACGCTAGCGTCGCCAAAACCAGGGCAGTTACGGATGGCCAGTGATCGAAGGGATTCACAACGGGATAGAGGAGGCAATCCCAAGCTTAGGTCCTTGATACTCAAGCAGTTCACAAGAGAAATAGCCTTGAACTTTGGACCACAGTTCAGAAGGGAACCAAAAAACCCAAATTGGGTAACCCTGTGGCACTCCTCCAGTTCCAAGCTCTCTAGTGAACCCGCTGCTTTAGCAAAAGACACCAACCCGTTATCGGATAAGAAAGCACATTTTCTGAGGCAGAACTGCTTTAAATTTGGGCAACCCTTACCAACAGCTTCCAGTCCCAGATCTGTCACTCCAAGGCAAGCTTTAATCGTGAAAGACTTCAATTTCTGTAGCCCATGACCGTTACCCATTACCCAGAAGCCCTTCTCGGTAACATTTGGAAGGCTATTGAGAGAAAGGTCAGTCACTGCCTTGCCATAGTGTCCAATTATGGCAAGAGAGACATCGGTAATGTTCAATGCCTGAAGCTTTACTTTTGTGAGGGAATATGAGGCTGATGTCAGCAGGCTTGCAATTCCTTGATCTCCAACAAGGGGGCAACCTTCAATTGAAAGAGACTTTAGATTGGGGCAGTAGCGTGCTATAGCCTGAATACCTTCATTTCCAATGTTTGCACAACCTTCAATGGTCAGATCAGTCAAATCAGGGCAGCCCTTTCCAATGGCGTGCAAAGACTCATTAGTAATAGCAGGACAGTGGCAAAGGTCAAGCTTCCGTAGCTGGTGACACCCATCGGCAATCTCTCGCAGCCCTTCATCTCCAAGGGAAGACAAATTCCACAAAGAAAGAACCCTTAAAGAAGGGCATCCACGGGAAATGGCCCTTAGGCCAACGGTAGTCACTCCAAGGCTGGAATTGCTTCCTCGAATGAAAAGCTTGCCCAATCCACCACGACTAGCAGTTCCGACAGCAATAGCAGCAAGTCTAACATCTGTTGCTTTATTCCCTTCCAAACTCCTAGAGAGGTATCCACCTCCCTGAACATCCTGATCTCCAACCTCAGAATCAACATCCTTGAGATTCAAGGCTTCAGTGGTCTTGTCACTGATTTCATCTCTGCGGATGTTGCTTACAAGTGTAAGCCAGCGCTTGGAAACACAAGCACAGGCACTCCTCTCCTGGCCTCCAGGTAACCGCCTGAAGATTTCAAAAAAGCATTCATCAGGGAGAACCTCGATTGACGGCTTCTGCTCAAACCTCTCACCCGAGAAAACAAAAGGCGCACTGATGCGGGACCTCTTGCAAGGGGGAAAATAAACATCCACATGACGTCCAAGGGACAAAAGGATATTTGATTCCTTTGGGTTTGGGTAGATCGACCCTCCATGGCAAAAATCATCAGATCCTGAAAACCAAGGAAAAAAATGATGAGGACCGAGAAGTCTACCAGAGTAATCTAAGAAAATCAAGTTAAAGAATTTGAAAGATGTTTCTGATTACATAACAATTGTTGACCACACAAAGAAGATGAAAAGGAACCCGATGGGGCTTTGAATCTAATAAGTAATAACTCACGAATCCATCTCAGATATAGTCCCAATAGAACCAAATATTTCAGAAAAACAACCTACAGCTAAAAAGGAAGCCATCTGAAACTAAAATCCCAGCCGATCCATTCAAAATAGACCGGATCTACAACCAAAATAGCTCTATGGTTCTCAACTTGAGATAAGCATAAAACAACAAACAGGATCACCTAAGAAACACCCAAAGCTCTTCTAAAACATCAAAATCTCCGATAAATTAAACAGCTAGGACAATTTATGAGAGACAAAAGGAAGGGATTAGTTCTATGGGTGTCTGATCTACAACTATAACTACTTCACAGCCTTAGTTTTCAAAGAAACAAAACCAACAAATAGAAAAGAACCTAAAGTCAACTATGTTCTTCCCCTAGATCAACCTGAATTAACTATTTCACAACCAATACCGAACATTCAACCTTTACCTAATCAACCAGATACCAAAGGAAAAAATCTTTTAGTTAGAAAATTGGAAACATATCAAAGATTTAAAAATCATCAACGATATTTCACAATAGATAATAAATTTCAGTCCCCCTAAGCTACCATAGATATTCTCAAAAGTCTCAAATTTGTTCAGCTACATATATATATATATATATATATATATATACTTCATCATATCCGATCTGCAAACCAAGTTGAATCATATCCGATCTGCAAACCAAGTTGAACAAAAACCAAAAACCGAAAACCAAAGATCCCCAGACAGAAAAACGAAAGAAAGAAAAAACTAAAAGAACTAGCAAAGGTTAAGAATTTACCACTAAAAGAAAAGAGCTTGGACATGAGTACAGCTCAAAAAAACCCGGGAGGTAAAATCTGCACCGTTCGCCGCCCGAAAATCCTCCTAAGAGAGACCCAACAAGTAAGAAAGCTAAAACTTCAACGTATGTAGATCGAAGACACGGATGCATGCGATAGATTGGAGCTATAAGGACATGGAACCCCTATCAAATAGGGTAAAAAAGAGAGAGGAGCAATGGAAGATAGTGGAGGAAGAGCAATGGAAGATAGTGGAGGAAAGGAAAAGCGGTTGGTTTTTATGATGAGAGGATGGAGAGGTTTGGGTATGCGACAATACAAAATAAAAAAAAAAACCCCCACACATTCAATGTATTTGAGCTAAGAAAGTGGCAAAGCTCTCTCTCTCCCCCCTCTCAATTTCCAATACCGCTTACGGCTTACCGCCTTTTGCTGCCTTTTTTTTATATTATTTTGCTTTCGTTTTCGCCAAGTGTTTGGATACTTGTTCAAGTTAAGTCCGTCGTCGGTTGTCAATCCTATTATGGAAAAAGCTAATCTTCATCCCCAGTCTAATTTATAGAAATCTTTACACTATATATATTGAATTTTTTTGTCATTTTATTATAATTTAATATTATATTTAAATTTATAATTCCTTCTTGTTTATTTTTAAAAACTATGCAGTAAAGTGACATGTACTATACATATTAACATTTTTTTTTACAATTTAACAAATGTGATACCTCCATGAATTTATTAAAATATTAAGTGTTTAAATTTCATATTTCTTGTTTTAAAACATTATTATTTATATATTCCATGCCCCATACATATGCAGAAAAGATGTATTGTGTTTGGACACAATATATATATATATATATATATATATATATATATATATATATATTAACTTGATAATTAAAAAAACACCATTAACTATGAATTCCAAATTTGCATGAATAATTACAATTTCAAACTACCATGTCCGGCACTCGGGCTATTGGAAAATTTTATCTTATGTTAATTGATATTACTTCATAATCGAACATTAGATAAATCAAGCTTGTTCACCACATTTGTATTGTTATATTGTATTTACTAATTAAAACAAAAAAAATGAACTTAAATATTACTACATGATTTCTTAAATAGTATGATTATATCCTATAATTTATTAGATTAAGCAAATATCCAAAAATATGTACTCAGATCAATTAAAAATAATTTATAATTAACATGTTATCTTTAGTGCTTCAAAACTTATAAAATCCATAAATCCACGTGTATGCATGCTGTTAAAGTAACAGCATAACTAAGTAACAAATGAACAAAGAAAATCAAGTATGCACTCTTTCATTCATTTGTTAAAATCCACAGTTTACAATAATAGCTCTGGTCACTTTATACACAAGAGGAGAGGAATATAAATGACGGGAAAAGACGGTAAAGGAGAGAGAGAGAGTTTGTTAAATCTAAACAGCTCTAACCACCTCACGTTCTTCACACATACATGAGATACATGCATACATCATACACTAACATTCTCTTTGCTAATTTAAACTTCACTCTGTTAACTTCCTTACTGCATAGACATTAACATTTTTCTTACTGCTTCAAACCTTCAAACTTTAAACTTCCACACTTGAGTTGAACAATCAATACTTTCTGCCTATGTTTCACAAACAAAGGTGCAGACAGTGGCTTAGTTAGTATGTCAGCAACTTGTTCATATGCAGGAACCTCATGAAACTGTAACTTTCCTACTGTGATCATTTCTCGAACAAAGAAGAGATCAAGTTCTACATGCTTGAATTTTGAGTGTGAAACAGGATTGGCACAAACAACAACTGCACTTGAGTTGTCACACCACAAAGTAGGTTTACCATGAGAAACAATGTGCAGTTCACTCAACAAGGATTCAAGCCACACCATTTCAGCAGCTACACATGCAACACTTCGATATTATGCTTCAGCTGTTGATCGAGCCAACACTTATTGTTTTCTAGAGCTCCATGAATCAAGATTGCCCCCAAAGTAGATGCAATATCCATATGTAGAATGTCTATCATCAACATCTGCTCCCCAACTTGCATCAGCAAAACCTGTCAAATAAAGTCGAGAAGAAGCCAAGAAATACAAGCCAAAATCAACTGTTCCTTGTAAGTATCTTAAAATGTGTTTCACTTCTTGAAAGTGAGTTTCAAGAGGAGCTTGCATAAATTGACACACATGATTCACAGCAAACACAATATCTGGGCGAGTGATCACAATATATTGTAAAGCTCCAACAATGCTGCAATATTGAGTAACTTTCTCAACAGGATTTCCATCCTTAGCTGAAAGCTTACAATTGGTAACCATGGGTGTAGGAATGCCATTTATATTTTCAAACCCATTGCGATGTAACATCTCATTAATATATTTCTACTGACTCAATACAACACCACCAGATTTATAATTAACTTCAATTCCTAAGAAGTAATTGAGAGTACCCATATCTTTTAAAGCAAACTTTTCATGCAACTTGTCAATGACCAACTGTACCTCACTTGCTTTATTACTAGTGATAATTATATCATCAACATATACAAGTAAATACAACAAACAATCCTTCATTTTTCAAACAAAAAGAGAATAATCAGACTTAACTACCACAAAGCCTTCAGATTCTAGGTAGCTCATTAAACTCTCAAACCAAGCACGTAGTGCCTGTTTTAAACCATACATAGCCTTATGTAACTTGCAAACCAGTTTATCATCACCAAATCAAAACCTGGAGGCTGAGTCATATAAAATTCTTCTTTAAGCACACCATTTAGAAAGGCATTATTAATGTCAACCTGTCTACGCTGCCACCCCTTTGACAAAGCCAATGTCACACAAACAGTTATTGGTTTAACAACATGACTAAACACCTCATGGAAGTCAATACCTGGTTGCTGAAGAAAACCTTTTGCTATTAATCTTGCTTTATTACGAGCAATCTAGCTATCTGCATTTCTTTTGATTTTGAACAGCCATTTACAATTTACTACTCTCCTATCATCTGGCAGTGACACTAGAAACCAAGTTTTATTTTTCATCAAAGCTTCATAATCCTCCTGAATAGCAACTTTCCAATGTGGACTAGTCAATGCTTGTTTGATGTTATGTGGTTATTCATCAATCCAAACTGTAGCTTGAAAAAATTTTGTTTTGAGATCCCACTCTTACTCCCTGTTTGCATTGGGTGAGTATTTAATATAAAGCTGCAATCAACTCCCACAACCGTTTGTGGTAATGTTATCTCAATTAGAACATCAATAGATTTTGACACTGTTTGAGTAGCTTCTAAACTATTTTCTTCATGAAAAGTTGACTACCAGCACCTTCCTCATTTTGCACACTATATACAGGTGACACATTATTTTCAAAAGTAACTTGATCATCATACCCTTGCTTAGTTTGAACTCGTGATGCAAAAATAATTGACAGCTCCTAAGTTGAAATATGTGAATCTACATGATCTTGATTTGTCAACCTGTAAGCTTTATAATGAAATTTTCCCTCATCGAAAATCATATGTCTTGAAACAAACATCCTCCATCATCATCTAGACACCGATATCCTTTGTGTAATGGACTATATCCAAGAAAAATACATTGCTTAGATCGATATTCAAGTTTGTGATGATTAAATGGTCTCACTAAAGGAAAACATGCACAACCAAACGCCCTTAACATTGAGTAATCAGGAGGTTGTTGATGCAAGACCTAAATGGTGATTTTCCATGTAACACTCTTGTAGGTAGTCAATTTATAAGATACATAGATGAGGTGAATGCATAACTCCAGAACTTCAAAGGCAAGGAAGGCAAGGAAGCTTGAGACAATAATGACAGCCCCATTTCAACCACATGACGATGCTTTCGTTTAACTTTTCCATTTTGCTTAGATGTGCTTGGATAATAGAGTCTATGTTGGACTCCATTAGTCAGAAACCACCCTTTTAGAGCCTGATACTCTCCACCACCATCACTCTGTAATATTTTAATCTTAACTCCAAACTGAACCTCAACAAGTTTGTAAAAGTTGAAAAAACATTGCATAACTTCTGACTTTCTTTTAATCGAGTAAAACCATGTAAATCTACTATATACATCAATAAGGGACACATAGTAGTCAAATCCATCACTAGAAACAATTGATGATGGTCCCCATACATCAGAAAAAATTAATTGAAAAGAAGCAATGTACTCAGTAACTGAATTTAAAAATGGTAGCTTGTGAGCTTTACTTTGTAAACAAACATTGTAAACAGAAGACAAAGAACTTTCATTAAAAGCAATATTACATGCTTTCATTACTGTTTTTACCACACTAACAGCCGAATGCCCTAATCTTTTATGCCACAAGTCTAACAGACCACAAGACTTTGACACGTTATTTAGTTGCATCTTCTTCATATTAGAGGACAGAAGTTTATATAAACCTTCATCCGTGAGCTTCCCGGTCAACAATACGCTCTGTGTTCGAGCATCATTCACAAAACATTCAAATGGATGGAATTCAATAAATAGATTATTATCCCGAGTAAACTGGGAAACAAACAATAAGTTTTTCTTAATGTCAGGTACATGCAAAACCAACTGCTTCGTTTTAGATGACAAGCAACTTTGACCAATATGGGAAATTTTAACACCTTCCTCATTTCTCATATGAAGGCAATGATTACCTATATAAGTCATACCAATATTAAGAAGAGACACATCATTTGCAACATGATGTGTTGCTCCCGTATCTGGATACCATACTGGATCAACATTACCAGTTGGCACAGTTGGTCGAGGTGAGTGAGCACTAGAGACAAAAGCAACTAAAAGATTGACAAAACCTTGTGAACTCTTAACTGAACCCAGACCACCATACGTTTTCATTGGAGAGCACCATGGAACCCCCTGATAGAAAGATCTTGGACTAGGCATTATAAAAAGAGGATTAGAATAATAGAATCCACGAGGAGATGAAAAAGATGCATTCATCGAGGGAAAAGGTGCACTCATTGCATGAGTGAATGCATGAGCATTCGAAGGTAACTTTTGTTTGCCTTCAGAAACTTGTGATGGCCTCCACTCTTCACTGCTTCGATTGTCACCTGTAAAATTCTTATCAAATCGATAATAATATTTTTGCACTGTATGACCATATTTACCACAGAGCTGACATTTGAAACGATTTGAATTATCAAAACTACCTCGACCACGTCCACAATAACTATCACTAGATTGACCTTGCATAGTGTCCGCTCGGTATGAGTACTATAAATGGTGCGGATATATGTGCAAGTATACACAATCGAACAAGTAATACAGTGATAAGTGAGTATCGTCTCCACAGGGATTGGAGGAAGTCGAATAAGTTCTATCAAAGCGCTTTACGTTGTCACCTAAGTAAAGTTAGTGATGATATGTATAAATGATAATGCTGTGGCAAAATGAGATGGATGTTGTGGAAATGGAATAGTGGTATGGTAGCAAATGAATATGTCGTGGCAAAGTGGATGGAAATGTCAAGGCAAAATAAAATGTAAATACTAGATTTAAAATGTAGGACTTTAGTTTTCTTACACGACAAACTGCTATGAGAATGAGTGATAGGAGACACTAGGAAAATCTAAGTCTATTTCTCTTAATGGTATTTCTTCTATGCCTAGCCTGTCCAACTGAGTCTACTAAGGTGCCCTATGTTATCTCTAGTAAGGGACTCGACAGATTAAAGATGCCCTGGTAAAATCGATTGGCGTAAACCCTTGCAGTGATCCTATTGGTCCAGATATCAGGTTATGTCTCGGCAATACCTTTTTGCGGCAGCATTAACATCTAACCTATCGATCTTGCACAACTCCTTTTAGTCGAATGAAATCCTAACCTTATCTCTAAAGTGGATTAGGCCTAGTTACTACCTAGAACCCCTTGTTTATGTAATTCTTCCCTAGTTTCTCTCGAATACTAAGTATATTTTGCCAATACATTCTCTCGAACCCTCAAGACCTCCTAAGGAAAGGCTACTCTCGTAGCTCCTACAACCTTAAGGCATTAAGTTTCATAAACAAAACAAAATATAGCATAGAAAAATAACCATTCATTGAAATAAAAACTTAAACATCCAAGTAAACTCCTCCCCAAATAGGATTAGTTCATGGTGGGGTTCGAAATAAACAAGCACAAAGCAAGTTTCATTCGTTCCTTACAACCCAACAACAAAATATGAAAGCAAAGAACTAAGGGGGAGAGAAAACCTTCAACATGCACTGCCTAATGCTTCTCTCGGCCACCAAGAACTGCTCCTAGCGAACTGGCTCCTCTCGGACGCTCAGGACGCCACTCCCTCAAGCTTGTCAATGAGAAATGCCACGACAAGTAGGATTGACGGAGAAAAATGAGACTCTCTCTATCTAACTTTTTAAGCTCAAATCTGGGTGGAACCAAAGTCTTCAATAATGTGGCTTTATCCTCTATTTATAGGGGAAAACTAATCCTAGGACTTGGTGTTAACTTTCCTAGGAAACCCCAAAACCATGGTTAAGTTGTTTAGAAGTCGGACATGACAGGCTATGATACAGCCTGGGTAGCTGGCTAAGTGACCGGCATAATCCCGTTGCAGGCACCAAAGGACATACATGATCTGCAGGGTCAGGCGGCGTCATCAGCAAGACTGGCGGTTATAGTGTTGATCCCTCCAGACAAATCTTCGAGGTGGATTTCTCGGGTAGAGCTTTCGGAAAGTCGGAGAAAGCTGGCTTCAAAAATATCTTCTCGCACTTTAAGCGCTATCAAAATGCCAGTCGAACTTGGAAATTTCATTTTGCTCAGCAATCTCCTTATGTCACGGCATTTTCTTTCCTTTTCTCATTCCTTTCAATTCCTGCACATCATCAAACAATCACCTTTCCCATAAGGCAGCACCGCTTTAAAAATAAAATGTCGCGGCAAGCTAAATTTCACCACATGCAACTAAATGCATTTATATGGTCCTAAATGAGCTATTAGACACTCAATAACTTAAGTGAAAAGGTCCCAAAATGTGACCTTTTACAGAGTTATCACACCCCAAACTTAAGCTATTGCTTGTCCTCAAGCAATGAATAATAATAAGGAAAACAAAAATACCATGACAAGTTCAGAAACAGAATAGTTTATGGGATAAAATTTCATCCCTCATCACATATGGCTTCAACATGCTAGACTTTGTCGAGAAATCTAGTACTTTCCCATAGGGAAAGATTCTTTGTGTGGGTATGTGCGTGTTTGTATCCAGTTTATGCTTAAAAAACTTAAAAATTTTCTAAGCAAGCTTTCCTAATTTACAATGACATTTTGAAAT